GTCCCCATGACCCCTCCTGCATACTTTAAGATGCTGCTGCCCTCCCAGGGGTGAGAGGGCTTAAAATGGGGCTTGGGGGATCAAATGGGACTGGGGGAAGGGGAAAAAGGTCACCCCCAGCACCAGGGGGTGGGAGGTTGTTGGGGTCACTCCTAGCCCATTCCCTGTGCATCCCAAGCTTCATGGGCTTCCTGCATCCTTTAGGATGCTGTTGCTTTCCCTCAGTGAAGGGGGGTAGAGTGGGGGGTGCAGGCTCCTGCTGCCATTCAGCCTGCAAAATGTTTGCTCCCAGGGCAGTGCAGCGGGATCAGCCTCACTCCCCTGAGCACCAGGTGCCAGCAGTGTGACCCTCCAAACCCAGTGTGACCTCCCCAAACCCAGTGTGACCTCCCCAAACCCAGTGTGACCCCCCAAATGAAGGCAGAAACAGGGTGACCCCTCACCCTCCTCCCCCCCTAGCACCAGGAGATGCTGTTCCACCCCCCCAAGGACCTCCTTGTGCCAACCCCCCCCGATGCCACCTTGCCCCACACCTTAGTGGGACACCTGAACCTCCTTGAAGACCTCCAACCTGCTGCTCCTGCCTGATTTGGGCCAAGAAATGAGGGGTTTAGCCAAAGGGAACCCAAATGCCTCAAGACTTGGCTCCTTTGGCCATGGTGGTGTGCCCCAGGAGGTGCCCATGGGTGCTCACCCTCTGCTGGGGCATCTCAGCCCCCTGGGGAGGTTTGGTATTTGTTCATAAACAATAAACCACATGTTTAGGAAGTTCTGTAAGGCTCCTGCTGGGATAGAAATCCAGGGGGAGGGTTGGGAGCACCTGGAGAATGTTCTGGAGGGGCCTGGGATCACCTGGAGAACATTTTGGAGCAAATTGGGGGCCTGGGATTGCCTGGAGAATGTTCTGGAGCAGGTAGAAGGGTTGGGATCACCTGGAGAATGTACTGGAGGGGCCTGGGATCATCTGGAGAACCTTCTGGAGCAGGTTGGGGACCTGGGATTGCCTGGAGAATGTTGTGGAGGAGGTGGAAGGGTTGGGATCACCCGGAGAACCTTCTGGAACAGGGGTGAGATCACCTGGAGAACCTCCTGGAGCAGGTGGAGGACAAGGACAGGAGATAAGGACCCTCCACCCCAGCTCCAGGCAGGATGGAGAACAAGAGATGAGGACCCTCTACCCCAGCTCAGCCTTGCCACCAGTTCCAGGCAGGATGGAAGACAAGGACAAGAGATGAAGACCTCCCAACTTAGCTCAGATTTGCCACCAGCCCCATGTGGGATGGAGGACAAGAGGTGAAGACCTCCCAGCAGCTCCAGGCAGGATGGAGATGGCCAAAGCCTGGACACACTCAGGACAAAGATCTCACCAAATATATATAATATATACAGAGCTCAACCCCCTCAGGACACCCCCAAAGCCCCCCCAGACCCACCAGGAGGGGCTGGGCAGGGACAGTCCCACCACAGGGACCTGCTGTGTCTCTTTAGGGGGGCATGAGGGGAGCAGTGACCCCAAAGGCATCAGCCAGGGGTGGGCACAGGACCCATCACCCACCAGGAGACCCTCAGGGCATCCTCCCACCCACCAGAAGACCCTCAGGGCATCCTCCCACCTACCAGGAGACTCCCAGAGCTTCCACTAAGCTTCACCCTCAGCGTGGGGATGAGTCTGGTTCAGACTGGAGGGAAGCAGAGGGGCAGGATAGGGTGTTGGGAGGACAGCACAGCTCCAGCATCTTCCCAAACTGGGGACCTCATCCCAAGCTGTGATCCTCAACCCAAGCTCTGGTCCTCATCCCAAACTCTGGACCACTTCCAAGCTCTGGTCCTCATCCCAGGCTGTGGATCTCATCCCAAACTGTGGTCCTCATCCCATGCTCTGGACCACTTCCAAGCTCTGGTCCTCATCCCAGGCTGTGATCCTCCTCCCAGGTGGTGATCCTCTTCCCAAAATCCGGTCCTCATCACAGGATGTGATCCTCAGCCCAAGCTGTGATGCTCAGCCCAAACTCTGGACCACTTCCAAGCTCTGGTCCTCATCCCAGGCTTTCCTCCTCAACCTAAGCTGTGATCCTCACCACAAGTTGTGATCCTCTTCCCAAAATCTGGTCCTCATCACAAGCTGTGATCCTCATCCCAAGCTGTCCTCCTTGTCCCAAGCTCTGGACCACTTCCAAGCTCTGGTCCTCATCCCATGCTGTGATCCTCATCCCAAACTGTCCTCCTCAACATAAGATATGATCCTCATCCCAGGCTGTGATCTTCCTCCCAAGTTGTGATCCTCTTCCCAAGCTGTGATCCTCAGCCCAAATTCTGGACCACTTCCAAGCTCTGGTCCTCATCCCAGGCTGTGATCCTCCTCCCAAACTGTCCTCCTCAACCTGAGCTATGATCCTCATCCCAAGTTGTGACCCTCAGCCCAAACTGAGGACCTCAGTTCAAGCTGTGATCCTCATCCCAAACTGTCCTCCTCATCCCAAGATGTGATCCTCATTCCAAGATGTGGACCTCATCCCAAACTGTGGAACTCACCTTAAACTGGAACTCATCCCAGGCTGTGATCCTCAGCCCAAGCTGTACAAGTCATCCTAAACTGTGATCCTCATCCCAAACTGTCCTCCTCAAGCCATGCTGTCCTCCTCATCCCAAACTGTCCTCCTCACCCCCCCAGGATCTCCAGCCTCACCCTCATCCCCCCCAAACCTCTCCCCCCTCCTCCCTCCCTGCTGTCTATCCATCACTGCAGCAGCTCCTCCCAGGAGATTGGCCGGGAAAACACTTCCCGCTCCAGCCAGAGGTCGTAGTTGACCTGGAAATCCTCGGGGAGGTCCACACGCTGCCCCAGGACACTCTGCAGACAGTTGTCCACGGGCAGAAAGTCGGGATTGCTGTGGGAACGGTCGTAGCGCCGCGCATTGAAGCGCTCAATGCTGGCACGGAGAGCACATTCCTCTGCCTGGAAATCCCAGGGACGAGCATCCAGGTCTGGGAGGAGAGAAGGGACAGGCTCAGGGAGGAGCTAAGGGTTCTTCAACCTGCACAGATCCCTCAGGAAAGGATGTGAGAGGTGCTTAGGGATCCAATGAATCACATGGGCTGGGTTGGGAGAAGGTTAGAAAGCAACTAGTGCCAACTCTCTGTCCCAGGCAGGGAGACCTCCCACCATATCCCACCAGAGCAGGTTGTTCTAGGATTTATCCAACCTGGAATTAACCTCCCTGGGGCAACCACAACCTCCTTGGGGCATCCACAACCTCCTTGGGGCAACCACAACTTTCCTGGGCAACCTGTGCCAGCGTCTCAGAACCCTCACAGGGAGGAATTCCTTCCCAATATCCCACCTATCTGTGCCCTCTGGCAGTGGGAAGCCATTCCCTGTGTCCTGTCCCTCCATCCCTTGTCCCAAGTCCCTCTGCAGCTCTCCTGGAGCCCCTTGAGGCACTGGAAGGGGCTCTGAGGTCTCCCTGGAGCTTCTCTTCTCCAGGTGAACACCTCTAGCTCTCCCAGCCTGGCCCTAGAGAGGCTCCAGAATCCTGGAATGGTTTGGGATGGAAGGACCTTAAAGCTCATCCCATCCCATCCCTGCCATGGATAGGGACACCTTCACCAGCCCAGGTTGCTCCAAGCCCCATCCAACCTGACCTGGAACACTTCCTTACAACAGGGTGTAGAGTGAGAGCCACCACCAGGCTCGTCCCTCTTCCCCTAATGCCACCACCAGCCTCGTCCCTCTTCTCCTGATGCCACCACCAGCTTTGTCCCTCTTCCCTTGATGCCACCACCAGCTTTGTCCCTCTTCCCTGGGATCCACCACCAGCCTTGACCCTCTTCCCCTGATGCCACCACCAGCCTTGTCCCTCTTCCCTGTGGCCCACCACCCAAACCCCTCCCACCGAAGCTCCAAGCAGCCAAGAGCCATCTCTGTGCCCAGCCATGTCCCCAGGAGGAGCAGGGGTGGCACGGGCTGAGGAGATGGCCCAGGCCATACCGTTGCCATAGGCCCAGTCGTCATTGAGGCGGTGCCTGACTTTCTGGTAGATGGCTGACATGGTCTTCATGTTGCTCTTCCTCCACTGCCTGCCCAGGTACTTGGTCTGCACCTTGAGAAGCTTCAGCACGTAGAGCTGCATCATGGCCTGCTTCACCTTCAGGGCTCTCTTCAGGATGGGAGCAGATTTGAAGACCACCAACATCTAGGGGATGATGTGGATAGAATGGATCTATGGATCTAACCCTTCTTCTCCCACCTCCTGCTCCACACTGAGGTGCCATTGGCCAGGGAGGTCCTCAGGGAGGTCCCAGCCTGGCCAGACTGAGCTCCAGGAGGTCCTCAGGTCTCACCATGGTACGGGAATGCTTCCACTTGGTCAGTTTGTTCAGGATGCGTAGGAGGTTGATGCAGGAGAAGAGATTCCTCCAGCAGAACTGGTTGTTGTCTCCAGCTTCCTGCAGGGAAGGGATGGGAGTGGGGATAAGGACAGTGGTGGTCTGAGGAGCTTTGTCCAAAGCCATGGAATCATCCACTCATGGAATTGATCAGGTTGGAAAAGCTCTCTGAGATCACTGAGACCAACCATTCCCTCAGCAAGGTCACCATTCATCACGTCCCCAAGTGCCACGTCCACATGGCATTGACACCTCCAGGGATGGTGACTCCACCACTGCCTCATCCAAGGGGACGGCACAGCGTGTGGGCAAGGAATCCTCCACTCATGGAATTGTCAAGGTTGGAAGAGCCCTCTGAGATCACTGAGTGGTCACCATTGACCATGTCCCCAAGTGCCACATCCACATGGCATTGACACTTCCAAGGATGGTGACTCCACCACTGCCTTGTCCAAGGGGACAGCACAGCATGTGGGCAAGGAATCCTCCACTCATGGAATTGTTCAGTTTGGAAAAGCTCTCCAAGATCACTGAGTCCAACCCTTCCCTCATTGTCAGTGTTGCCAAGGCCACCACTGACCATGGCCTAAGTGCCACATCCACATGGCATTGACACCTCCAGTGCTGGTGACTCCACACTGCCCTGGGCAGCTGTGCCAGGGCTGGACAGCCCTTTCCACAGGGAAATTCCTCCTGATACCCAACCTGAACCTCCCCTGGCACAGCTTGAGGTGTTGCCTCTTATCCTGTTGCTTCATGGGAGCAGATCCTGACTCCACTTGGCTGCACCTCCCGGCAGGAGTTGGAGAGAGCAGGAGGTCTTCCCTGAGCCTCCTTTTCTCCAGGCTGAGCCCACACAGCTCCCTCAGCCCCTCCTGATGCTCCATCCCATCCCTGGACACCTTCAGCTCCTCAATATTCTTCTTGTGAGGGCTCCAAACCGACATGTGCCACCCCCAAGCCCCAGGAGCACAGAAGAGCTGAAGGTTAGGTGCTGGAGTCCTGCTGCCTTCCCACATCCCAATTTTCCCTGGGAAGCATCCCAAGTGGCAGGATCTGGCCCAGGATTGACTCACCAGGCTCTCTGCTGTCAGCTCTGGCAGCTCATGCACCACACAGTATGGATAATCCAGGACAGAGATGCTGCAGGAAGGAGAGGAGATGTCATGCTGCTCCTCCACATCCCTCCTGGCTGAAGACAACACAGTCCCAACACCTCCCACCCATAGGAGATGACCTGTGGTGGCACCTCCAAGGTCTATCTGCACTCAAAGCACAGCCAGGAGGGATAATGGATGGGTGAAGGAAGCAGGAACTCCTCCCACACCCTCCAGGGATACAGGTGGGACATCCTCCTCCACTACCTGTTCTTGGCAGTGATGTAGGACATGATGTTCTGGTTGAAGAACTTGAGGATGAGTGGGATGCAGTTGGCAAACACCAAGTGCTGGGCCATGTACTCAAACTGGGGAGGAGAAAGGTGGGTCAATGGGGACACACAGGTCCTGCAGGTCCTCAAAGATTCCTTGGAGGGTGGTGGGACCTCAGCCAAGCTCACCTGGTAGATGTGGTTGAGCTTGAAGTGCTTGAGCAGGAGGAGCAGCACAGCTGAGATGGCTTTGACGATGATCTCCTTGTGCCTATTGACATCTACCCCCAGCTTCATGCTCTGCAGCACTGTGGTCCTGAGGGACACAGGGAATGGGTAGGGAAGTTCTTCCCTGGGAGGGTGGTGAGGAACTGGGATGGATTTCCCAGAAATGTTGTGGCTGCTCCATCCCTGGGAGTGTTCCAGGTCAGGTTGGATGGGGCTTGGAGAAACCTGGGCTGGTAGAAGGTGTCCCTGCCCATGGCAGGGGGTGGGATGGGATGACCTGAGGGTCTCTTCATCCCAAACCATTCCAGGATTCTGTATCCAATCCCAAACCATTCCAGGATTCTGGAGGCAGGCTGGGAGAGCTGAGGGTGTTCACCGGGAGAAGAGAAGCTCCAGGGAGACCTCAGAGCTCCTTCCAGTGCCTCAAGGGGCTCCAAGAGAGCTGCAGAGGGACTTGGGACAAGGGATGGAGGGACAGGACACAGGGAGTGGCTTCCCAGTGCCAGAGGGCAGGGACAGATGGGATATTGGGAAGGAATTCCTCCCTGTGAGGTGCTGAGGCACTGGGATGGATTTCCCAGAGCAGCTGTGGCTGTTCCATGCCTGGGAGTGTTCCAGGTCAGGTTGGACAGGAGTTGGAGCAACCTGGGCTGGTGGAAGGTGTTTCTGCCCATGGGATGATCCTGAAGGTCCTTCCAAACCCAAACCAGTCTGGGATTCCATGATCCTTGGGCTGGGACAGGGTCTATCCCCCCGCCAGGGTCCATGTCCCACTGCCTGGTCCCTCCTGTCCCCCATTCCCTCTCCTTCCCACCACTCACGGCATCTCCTCTGGCAGGACATCTGCCAGGATGTTGATGGAGTCTGTCTTGGCTTTGGAAGTAGGAGCTGCAGCGAGGAGGATCTTCAGGAGAGCAATCTGGGCACAAGGGAGAGATGGAAAGGGATGGGAGTGGAGGGACTGGTGCCAGGCCCTTCCCACTGCCAGAGGGAAGAACGGGGATGCAGGTGAGGATAGGGATGGAACAGGGAGGCAGGTGTGGATAGGGATGGACACCAGTCAGGGGTGGAGCAGGGAAGGACCCCAGAGCTCCCAGCTTACCATGTACTGGGGCAGGCTGGGCAGGAGACCCTGGTACAGGATCTCTGCAGGGACTTGTTCCACCTCCTCTTCCCCCTGGTGCCAGGAGAGAGCAGAAAACCTCATCCCAGGAGCTTCCAGCAGTGCCATGGCCCCAGGGCAGGATCTCCCCAGCTCCTGCCCCAAGTCC